ACAATATTACTGTTTTACTGTACTTTTGATCAAATAAATGCAGCTGTTGTGAGCAGTAGAGACTTCGTCTTACTGACTCCAAACTTTTGAACGGTAGTCTAACTTGTCTAAAAAACCAAGTATGAATGGATTCTGTAGCTGAGAAGAAAAATCAAAACAATGCTGCCTTGAAAATGTGTTCTGTTGCTTTGCTGACATTTTCAATATCATCCAAAAACAGCACAACAAATAACTGCAGCTCAATATCAAACAGGATTTCAATTCATGCAGCATATTTGCGTACGGAAGGACATGTATATACAAAAACGACATATTTTTGAAGCATTTTATTACATTATTCTAATAAATAATGTAATAAAAGGGACAACTCGTGGCACAAAAGGTGTGTCATCTCTCCTCATAAAACAGACTGAGAGCAGATCTGAATATGAGAGAATTCAATCGCTGTCACTCACACAAACTGATGAACACAGAAAAGATGAGAAGTAAAAGAGAGAGCAGAAGCACCTCAAGCTCACGGAGAGCGTTGTCACACTCCTTCTGTCCCGGAGCCTGCTGGGTACACATGCTGATCAGCTGATTAATGCTGTCTGTCACAGCGCTATCGAGAGAGAGAGAGACATTAGAGTTTGCTAGGAAGGGAAGGAATAGCACGAGAGATCTGTGAGGAACAATCCACCCACGTATGTTACCACACACTCTCTCTCACTCTCTCTCTGATGCTCTGTGAGGGAGTGATGGGAGTTTTTGGATGGCAAGCGCTGTAAAGCCATTAGCTGCTGTTGTTTTATCGCTTCTTGCTCTTTCCCTCACAAACACATCAGAGAGCAGCAGCGATACAAACAGGTTTGCTTTATAGATGCCTATTACATAATTGTGCTCATTCCAACCCAAATGTGTAGAAAAGCGAGCATGCCACTTATGTAATGTATGTCAATAGAGGAGCTGTGTGCGCGTTTCTTTCTTACGATCACAGGCACTGTTTGGCTAGCATGCCATCACACAGCACAACATCGGACTCGATCCTCCAAAGAAAGAGTGCAGGGCTCTGTTCCAAATCACAGCGAGCTGCATTTTAGATGCTTTCAAATAGTAGTTGGATAACTATAACGGCCTGCTTTTGGCCAAATTCTAAAGATGTGCTCACATTTACCATTGCTTTGCCAAATTTTGTGTGCGATTCAAATAGGTCACATGGGTTCCTGTATGTTACCAAAAAAACGGCTTGGTTTGAAAGTGCCTTCTGTGTGAGCTGCGCTTTATACATCTCTGATGGAGAGATGATGG